CGGAATCTGCTTCCAAGAAAGCCTGGCATTGTATACATAAAGTAATAGGAACAAATATAAGTATGTATTCTAAATACATACTTAGAATAGTTAAAGGTGGCAAAAGTATTATTTAAAAATCACTTTCACGATAGATATGGCCTATATGTTTCTCTTACTAAAGTCCAAATATTAATTCATACTTCATAATCTGGTCCTCCAAAGTGAGATTTTTTCTTAAGTTCTGTCATTGCATTTTTGTATGCTTCTTCTGTTCTTCTCCTCTTCTCAACTTCCTATTTAAAAAAAAAAACGAAAAGTTATCATTTGAAGTGGACATTTTAATTACAATAAAATGGATTTCCTTTGCATTTTGGCAAAATTTTATAATTTATTTAAAGATAACTCCACTCCTAATAAGAATATTATTCTTCCCAATGAACACTTTTCTCTGGGTTATATATTACATACAAGCTACCATTTAAGACACCATTAAGACCATCTTATAGCTAGGTTATATACTTAAATGATTCGGAAACTATTCAAGTGTCTAAGGTATACTTAAAAAAGATAAATCAGTGCCAAAGAAATGCCCAGTAGAGATTCCTGTATTCTTTCCCTGAGTAAGAGCTGTGTTTATTTGGTACCAAGACAATAAAAGCAACTACCTGATGAGAAGAGTAAAATAAATCAGTTAATAGGTGGAATCAGTAAATGCTAAAAAGCAATTCTAAGATGACAAACTTTCTTAATGCTGAAGAGGACTATTCTGGAGCTGAAAAGACTTTTGGTTTAACCATCTTGACCCTCTCCTTTTACAGACAGGGCCTATAGCACTGAAAAGCCAACACTTTAAATAACAAAAGCTGGCCCAATCTCACATTTAGTACAATGGGTGCACTGCGTTAAATCTGATACAATACTGAAATCCAGCAAGCTCATAAAAACCTAACGACTTTCTGCCCTCACTTCAAGGACTTAATGGCTACAGTTCACATGGAACTCACACAAAGCTAACTACTTCTAAATACTGCACCTGGGTTAAAGCTAGTACAGATTAATAATTAGTTCATTAGATCCAAATGTTTAATTAATGATTTTTGTATACTGAAAGGCCCACCAGAAAAAAATAAAAAAACAGAGCCAGGTGTGGTAGTGTATGCCTGTAATCCTAGCACTCAAGAGACTGAGGTAGGAGGATTATTGTGACTTTAAGGCCAGCCTTGGCTACACAGTGAGCTCAAGGCCACCTCAAACTAGAAAAAACAAACAAAACAAAACAAACAAAACAAAATTAAAAACAAAAACCCTCACAAAAACAAAACAAAAGCAACAAAAAACTAGAAAGCTAAGATTAGAACAAAACACACACACACATACACACTCAATACTAAATGCTATTACTAATGAAGAGTGCCTGGCATGGTAGCACATGCCTATAATCCCAGCACTGGGGAGGCTGAGGCAGGAGGATCACCACAAGTTTGCCAGCCTGCACTACATAATGAGTTCAAGGCCAATATGAACTATATAGAGAGATCCTGTCTCAAACAAAACAAAACAAAACACCCTAAAAGAAAAAGAAAAAGAAAAGAAAAGTAATTGAAATTTTTATCTATTGATGGTTGGAACATAAAGTAATAGAACCACTTTAGAAAACTGTCAATATCCACTAAAGCTAAGTATATACCCCATGATCCAGTAATTCCACTCTCAGGTATATTTCTAAGATAAATGAGTGTGTATGTTCACCAAAAGATACAGATGAGAATTTTCAGAGTAGCTTTACTAAAAAATAGCCAAAAAATAAAAGCAACCTAACTGCATTGACAGAAAAATGGATAAACAAACTGAAGTCACAAACTGAAAATTCATCATACATTGGACTATTACATAGCAACAAAAACCATCACTAAATATAACATAACAATATATAGGAATTTCACAGTCAATGCTGAGGAAAAAACATCAGGCACAAGGATGCAGCATCTACTTTAATTTATACAATGGTTGAAGACAGGAAAAACTAATTTATGATGATATAAATTAGAATATGGTCACCTTTTGGAGTAATGGTATGGTAGAGATTAGGAAGGGGCATAAAGGAATATTCTAGGGTGCTGGAAAACTTATATACCTTGATTTGCATGTGATTACAAGGGTATATAGGTATGTTTAACATAAAAATCAAGTAGTATACTTAAATATGGTATATCTCACTATATGTATGTTATACCTTAATAACAAAAATGTACAATACAGTAACAACACTAAACAGACCTAGGGAAAGTAAAAAGCATGTGAAATCACATACCTGTAAATCTATTAATGTAAGCAAACTTATCTTCAATGAACTGATTTTTTTCTTGTTAACATTGTTAACTAAAACGGTTTAAATTTTTTTGGTTTTCCTAGACATGACGGGGACAACCATTAAGTATACTTCTATAATAGAAGGGTTATTTATTTACATTAGTGAATTTGTAGTGCATAATTTTTATATTCCTTATGTGAAGTTGGTAATTCACATAACCTCTTTTTTTGGTACTGGGATTGAACTCGGGACCTTGTGCTTGCAAGGCAGGAGGCAGAACCACTGAGCTAAATCCCTGGACCCACATAACACCTCTTAATTCCTTCTTTCATCCTTATTCTCTCTCTTGCCCCTGCTCTATCCCTTGATCTCCTTCCCATTTGAGAAAGCTCTATCTCCCTACTTCCTATTATCTTTTCTTTTGGTTTTTATTTATAATTTGAGTTTCTCATAGAAGAGAAACCATGCAGTATTTAAACTTGTGTGTCTTATTCGCTCTACCTTAACATTATGGTCTCAAGGTGCATCTATTTTCCTACAAACGACTCAAGTTTATCTGTCTTTATGGAAGAGTAGTATTCCACTGTGTGGAATAATAATACTACACTTCCTTTATCCACTCATCTGTTGATGGACAGAGATTTTTTTATAGGCAACTATAAAAATTATCACCACTGAATAATATTCATTTTCATTCACCTGAAATAATATACTGATATTAAAAATGTACATAAAACCATAATACAATTAAATACTATTACACAACTGTTGTCATTATCACTGGTTTAACTGCTCTTACATTTTACTCCTCGAGGGACTATTTCCACTCACTGCTGTTTCTTCATCCCTATTTTATACTCTTCAATGATGCAAAATCAATGAAACTATATTGATTTCATTGTACTTTCTTTTTTTTTGGAACCAGGGATCGAACTCAGGTCCTTGTGCTGGCGTGTCAGGAGGAGGAACCACTGAGCTAAATCCCAGACCCTTCTTTGTACTTTCTTTCCTAATTTCATGCATTACTCAAAAAACATTTATTGATAAACTTCCTATATTCAAGAATTTTGGGGCCGGGGATTTAGCTCAGTGGTTTTGCTGCCTGCTGCGCAAGTGCAAGGACCTGAGTTTGATCCCGGGTACCAAAAAAACCCCCCAAAAAACAATGTATACATGTATATATACATATATTTGCACATACATACAGGGTATACACATGTGTGCATAAACACACACACACATTCCATGTAAAATATAACTGGGATCCTGTTACTTCAACCTTAGAAAAAATTATAGTGCAAAAGGTAAATATGATTTGATATTGTACAAACCAGTAAGAGAACCACAAAATACAGTAGTTTCCAGATATGAATTAATAACTGCCATCTTTTTGGGATGCTCTTGGTTAAAAATGCTACACAACAAAGCAACAAAAGTATTTTTTTCATACATTCTTTAGTTTGCTCTACTTATTTCTACCTAAAAAGGAAAGAAAACTGATAAAAATTAACAATGAAAGTAATAAAAGTCCACCTGCCTCTTCAACACAGTAAATAAAAATCCTGAATGCTGAAAAGTTGGAGATGTTACATAATGTAAAAAGGTTCTTAAATTGTTTAATGAGCATTTTTGAGGCACTGTGATTAAATATATGACTGAAGAATATGACTCCTTAATGATGGATAAATAGAGGAAACCTTAGAAGAAAGCTGCCAAAAAGTTGCAAAAAGAGGCTAATCAGGATGAGCTGAACCATACTCTTAAATCAGGCCTCTAATGAATGCTAAGAAATGTCCTGTTTTTCAATATATTGTTGTGTGCACAGGGACGCTTTCAACAATTAAATGTGAGCCATATGGAGTATAGAGTTGAGATATTTAAAAATATAATAGTTTGGCTCCAGAATAATAAAATGTTTACACAGTAGTTTTCTTTATCTGCAGTTTCCCTGCAACATATTGTCCATGGTCAACAGGAAAGGTGAGGACAGCAGAATATGATTCTGAGAGGATACAGTATATTGTTATAATTATTCAATTTTAATACTGGCTATTGTTTTAATCTTTTACTGTACCTAATTTATAAGTTAAAGTATCATGAGTACAAATATAGAGGAAAAAGCAGCATATAGAGGGCTCAGACCCCTATATACACAGGGTCTTGGAATGTATACTCCACAGATAAAAGGGTTCATACTCCTATTCAACAGGGCTTACTCTCACGTGCACTTGAGAATTTTGAACACTTCTTTTCTTCTAAAATATAATCTCCTTAAATACACAGTGCTGTTAAAATCCTCTGGCCATTCTACTGGGTGACACTGTTCTCCTTTAGGGTCTTGTTCAAATTGAAAGATCTTCAAACATTACAAGCAACAAAGCTTTTTGATGAATAAGGTTCTGACTGATGTCTAGCTTGGTATACAACAGAGCTGACATATCAGAGTAGAGAAAAATTTCCTTAACTCTGTTACTTAACACTTTGGACAAGTTTCTGGGTTCAGTTTCTTTTTGGACCCAAACTTGATTGTCTAAGGTATGTTTTCACTTCTGACATTTTATTAAAGTTGAACTAAAAATAGAAGTTTTCCAACTAAGAAAATTTAGTGAGCCATATTTCATGCAAAAGTAGTCAGCCATATTCACCCTAAAAACTAGAGGTTCATACTATAACATTATCAGTGCTGCTGATTAAACAAAGGTGGGAAAACAGGAGCAGAGGGCAAATATTCAAACTATATAATGTATGTTAAATGATATCACATTGAGCACGGGAAAAAACACATGGCTATGAGTGTAATAAGTAAATGTTTAACTTTATCAACTGTTTAAATTAGCTCATATAACTTAAATATGGTTTCATACTTCACACACTAAAGGTAAGCAATGCTAAATGGTTCATCACTTCTATTCCAAAGCATTACTAATACCATCATAAAAATATTAATGGTAAAATCACTCTAAAAAAGCATATTGCATAATAACTAAATAACTGAGGAAAATGGGTTTAAGATTTCCAAAGTGTCAAAGAATTAGTACCACCTGGTACTTTTATTAATCCAATGAACTCTTCCCTAGGAACTTAGATTAGTTTAAATGTTCCAATTAAATATAAAAAAATAAAATCTGATTATTTTTAAAAGAAAGAAAAAAGTAGTCTTACCTTATCTAGTCTCTTTTGCCAGCTGTCCTCACGTTTTACCATTAATTCAATACAATGAGAAAGTGTAGCAAGGATTCCAGCAGTAGTTGCCTTGAAGGTTATTGCTTCCCCTTTAAAGTCTATACCATTGATTCCTTTTGGTGTTACATGTGGAAATACTGAAAAAGAAAACATTCACTGAAAAGCTTTCAAATGAAGAATTATTCATCATAATTTAAGATTAGAAAGTTTTGATCATTTTCCTCCTGAGGACTAACATTTAAAGTATCTCCTCCCTGCTCTATGAGCAGGGCTTGGTGCCTTCAGCTCCTCTTTTCCAGACTTTACTTCCTGAAATCTATTTGCTGTGCTGCACCCAGTGAATCAAGTGGTAGGAGGAGTAATCCTTTAACAATAACACTCTGACAGCTTAGAGAGGAACCTAATTATGGCAAGAACCACCTTACAATTTAAGAAATCTAGAATTAAAAAATATCCAGAGATAAAATATAGAATTTTATAAGGAAATTTAAAAGTAAATATTCAAATTTAGGTACAGGACCAACACATATATTAAACAGCTTTTATAATTACATTTTATAATTCTGATTCATGGTTAACCTTTGAATTAAGTGAAAAATCTTAAAACTCAAAACATTCAAATGAAAATAACATCTTATTCTATAGCTAATAAAAATTATTCTGATAGAGCCCTTATATAAATGAAATGATACTTCTGACTTCAAAATCTCATATAGAGATTGGACAGTAAAGGTGTAATTTGTAAGAACAAAGTGCTAAACTGTACTTCATCAAAATTTAAAAATTTTTGCTATAATTGCCACTGTTAAGAGAATGAAGAGGTTCAAGTCACAGACTGGAAGAAAACCTTTGCATGGCATATATTAATCAAGAACTTGTATCCAGAAGATACCAAGTAACCTCAAAATAGAACAGTAAGTTAGGTAAATAACCAATAAAAAAATTGAGCAGCTGGGCATGGTGGCACATGCCTATAATCCCAGCACTCAGGAGGCTGAGGCAGGAGAATCACTGCAAGTTTGAAGCTAGCCTGGGCTACACAGTGAGTTCAAGGCCAACCTGGACTACTTGGTGAAACCCTGGAGAGAGAGAGAGAGGGAGGAAGAGAGGGAGAGAAAGAGAGAGAGCAAGCAAGCAAAAGATGTGGACACATTTCACCAAAAAAGAGATATAAAACCACAATAAGCACTGCATATGTATTAAAAATATCTGAAATTTAAAGTCTGACCATGCCAACTGTTGGTAAAGACGTGGAAAACTGGAACTCTCATTTAAGACAGTTGAAAAACATTTGGCCTCAGTGGTTCTGGCGCCTGACTTGCAAGCACAAGGTCTCGAGTTCAATCTCCAGTACCAAAAACAAAACAAAAAACAAACCCTGAATATTTGGGCCGGGAATTTAGCTCAGTGGTTCCACTGCCTGCTTTGCAAGCGCAAGGATCCGAGTTCAAGCCCCGGTACCAAAAAAACAAAAACAACAACAGAAAAAGCATTTTGGCAGTTTAAGTTAAATGCACATCTACTACATGATTCTGCCATTCCACTTCTTGGTATTTATCCAAACAAAATAATATGCTTGCCCATGCAAAGGCTACAGGGATGTCCCCAGCAACTTTATTTGTAATAGTTAAAACTGTAAACAACCCACCTGTCCACTAAAAAATAACAAATTGGATCCCAAACTGTGGTATTATCTATGTAATAGAACACTTCTTGGCTATGAGAAGAAATCAATTACTGATACATACAATGAAGAATCAAAAACTAAAAAGGACAGGTGAAACAGAACACATGAATCCAATTATATTAAGTTCTAGAATATACAAACTCATCTACAGTGACAGAACATAGATGAGTGGTTTTAAGTGAATGAGGTAAGGGGAAGCACATGATGAAGTGAATGGAAAAACAGAAACATTAACCAGCTTGTGCTGATAGCGTCATGAAAATATCCAGACATCAAATTGCACACTTTAGGTAGTTTGTCAGTTACATTTCAATGAAACTTTTAAAAAAGAGGTTTTCTTTATAAGACTAGAAACCTTTTCTATCATTATACTGTCTGTATTTTCTTTTCTTTTCCTTTTTTTTTTTTTTGGTACTGGGGATAGAACTCAGGACCTTGTGGTTGCGAGGCAGGTGGCAGAACCACTGAGCTAAATCCCTGGCCCTATAACGTCTGTATTTTCTCTCCCTCTTATCAAACACCATTTTGTTAAAAAATTTTTATTAAATATTAACTTATAAATTCAAATTTGTATAAAAGAATGTTGCTACTACAATAGGCTGTTACTGCTAAATGTTTGCTAATTTATATACTAACAAGATGAAAAAAGTAAGAAATATCTTTGAAAAAACCCCTAGAATGCAGAAATGTACCTTTAGCTGCACTAAACTACATCAAGAGACAGCCACCCCAAATCCTGCATGGAACAAAGCAGGAGTTATATAACCAATCTGTAAGTTTTCATACAGCTGACAAAATAAAGATCTCACACAGTAAGGTTTTTAAAATAAATTTTTTTCATGTTGTATCTGTTTGAAAAATAACTGTCATGAAGACAAAGCCGTATCTTAATTTGTCATCCACTAGGTTCCTCTAAATATTGGCACTTTGATTTTTAATCTTTATGGCAAAACGTTAGCAAAAATCCCAAAGTACTTAATATTTTTAGATGAGCTCACTCATCAGAATCTCTCCACTGAAGATAAGGGGAAAATGTTCTTTTTTGTTAATTTTGAGATGGAATCTTGTTAAACTGCCCAGGCTAGTCTCAAACTAATGGACTCATGACTCAGGCTCTTGAGCAGCTGAACTACAGGTGTGTGCCACCATAGCCAATGAGAAAATGCTCTTAAAGAGATTGGGGACATGACTTAAGTTCCTCTGGGAAAATGATACACTACAGTACAAGAAAGTTCTAAGTATACAACAGTGCATATGAAGGGCATAAATTGCAAACAATCTATAAATTTAGATTTACAAGTAGGCTCCAAAGATTATCATTCAGATTTATAGTTTAACTCTGACCTTACACACTTCAAAACTCTTTCAAAGGTATTACTACCCAGAAAATCAAGGGATCTGTAAGCTAATATAAACATATCAAGAATAAAAACAGATGCTGACAGAAGTGAAGATTTGGAAATTCTTCATTTTGACTCTTGCACTCTGCTTTGAACAGCAGACAACTTTGCTTCAATTTCTGTGCCAGTTTTTCAACTTCACCACATAAAGTATTCTAAATGACTATATAGGGGACAGAAAATAAAGAGCAACTGGTGGAGAAATTCCTCTGAACATACAGAATAGCAACTCTGGGGCAGGGATTTAGCTCAGTGGCACCATGCCTGCCTCACAAGTGCAAGGTCCTGAGTTCAATCCTCAGTACCAAAAAAAAAAAAGCAACTGTTTAAACCTCTCATGTGTCTACTAAGAGAAAGAGGGAACGGGGCCAAAGACTATGGTCCTGGTATCGATCATACCAGGATCAAAAAACATTGGTTTTGGACTACTGGCCTATTTTAGATACAATTATTCTAACAAAATAAGCCACAGCTGGTTTAAAAACCAAGTATTCATATATGAAAAGTCTTTGAGCTTAAATGGGTTAAATGTAGTATGTGGACCAAATTTTGTGTTCTGATAATTAGTATATGAGCAAGCACATGGAGAGTAAGTGTATGAAGAAAGAGCAGACAGGAAAATATCAATACTTTTGATGATCAATGCACATTCAATTAATATGAAATTTTTTTCTCAATGAGTTTCAAGAAGAGTACATTTTGAATATATCAATTAATATATATCAATTAATATTTACCTTTTTATTTTATATAGTAGATGACATGGGAAAGGGTTCTTGTAAATGACTTACAAAGTAGGAAACTGTCAGAAAGTACGGCTAAAATATAATTAAATGTGAAAACTGACAAATATAATACATATAAAAAACACACAGGAAGCCATTTTCGACATTTAATTTATCATGATGACGGTTTATGAACAGGAAATTTTGGTACCATTATTATTCATGGCAAATACAAAGAAACAACAGACTTTAGATTGATTTAATCTGAATTTAGGGTCACCCAAAATCTGAGTTTTAAGATTCTTTGGTGTTTTGCAATATAGTTTTACTGAGATATAATTTCCATACTGTAAAATTCACTCATAATACATGAAATTCAATGATTTTTAGTATACTCAGAGTTGAACAACCATTGCCATTACCAATTTTAGGGCATTTTCATCAAACTTTCCTAAAATCCTAGATCTGTGATAGTGAACCTATGGTACATGTGTTATTGTGTTTTTCTTTTAAGACAAAAGATGTTAATGTAGGCACAGGAAAAGACTTTATGAACAAAATCTCAGTCGCACAGGAATTAGCACAAAGAATCAAAAACTTGGATCTCCTCTTATTAAAAAGCTTCTGCACTGCAAGAGAAACCGAGTGAAGAGACAACCCACAATCTGGGAAAAAATTTTTACCAGCTGTTCCTCAGACAAAGGTCTACTATCTAGAATACATAAAGAACTTAAAAAAAAAAGACCTCCCAAATTTAAAGATCCAATCCAAAAATGGGCATCTGAAATGCAAAGATGTTAATGTAGAGTTGTTTTTTCTAATTGCAAACCTCAGTATTCAGGTTTAACGGCAGTGTTGGCACTTTGTGATAAGTGGGTTTTAGGGTACAGTTTGGGCACCTGATCTCTAAAAGGTTCGCCATCACCGGCTTAGAGTCACCATCAGTCACTTCCCAATTTCCCCAAGCACCCTGTCCCGTCCTAGGCAATCACTAATCTGCCTTCTACCTCTGCGATTTGTCTCTTTTGGACATTTCATATAAACAAATATATAAAAATGTTTCTTTGTGACTGGATTCCTCTACTTAGCATGTTTTCAAGGTTCATCCGTTATATAACTGTTTGCAAACAACTTGGTTTGCAAACAAAAGTGTTAGGCAAATTTTGCTTCTGTTTCCAAACTCCGAATTAGGTGACAAATACGACCATGTCCATCTTCCCCCCACAAAAACGAATGGAGCCATCTTTCTCAAAATTGTAAAACATTTTGTTTCATTGGTGGGGAAACATTTGGGTTTTCATTTTTTGGCTGTTATGCATAATAAT